TTACTTTAAATTTCTTACATACTACAATATTGGTAAATTATTTTTTAGTTATTTTGCATTCAATATATTTTTAATTTTTTCCGCTATTACCAAGAAAAAACGAATTTCTATATATTTTACTTATATATAGGAATATAATCCATTAAAAAATAGCTGTTGCTCTGCTGCTGATACTTGTGCGTGGCGCAGCTCCAAGAAAAAAAAACTTTTCAACTATTGTTTTTAAAGCACTTTAATTTGATTAAATTAAATTTGACGTAGGGGACTACGACTAAAGTTGAAAAAACTGTCGAACTTTTGGGTTTGCGTTTCCAGTATGTGTGTGTGTGTGTGTGTGTGTGAAAAAAGAAATTTATTTCATTTATTTAGATGGCTGCGAATATAATTGGATTTTGGGTATTAAAATAAAATATATTCACATATATGTGAGTAGAGTGCTTTAAATATGTATATGTAGCCGCATTGGGAAAATCAATGCTAAAAACTTTTCGATTGACATGGACAAAGAGGCGAATAACAACAGCCAGCAACAGCTTGTGCATAGTCGATGAAGTTTTTTTTTTATGATGGAATCAATATGCATGCGTATGGTTGAATGTTATGCAAATATTTGCTAAAGCAACGACAAATAATTGAGAGAGAATTAAAGTTGGCACACAAAAAACAAAAAAAAAAAAGTTTGTGACAACAATTTGCCAAGCTCAATATATACATATATAGTATATGTGCTCTATATATGTGTTAATGCTTGTTAAGGGACGACAGTGCGTATGCATAATGTGCGTAGCTCATTTAAAATGATTGCATGCAGTTGTTTCGCTCATCAAGTGCACGTTGAATTAAGGGTCTGGCATCAATTTGCGGACTACGATGGACCTTTTATACACATTCACGAGAGTGAAGTGAGAATATTGGCTTTTGAGCAAAGTCCGTTTTCCATGCCGTGTGCTCATATAAAGTAAGAGACTAGAAGCTAGAGACTTGATTTATTTGGAGCATTTACTCGTCTATAGCCTTGAATTATAAAGTGTCAAGATTTCACCGATACGCCCACTGGGCGGTGGCATATCAGAAAATGCATATTTCGGTATTTCAGTAAGTAGTATTACCAATTGTGGGCGTGGAAAATAGGCAAATGCATCTAGCAGCCTTTGAGCCATGACTGAGTATGTTGCAGTCGGTACAACCCAACTGCAACGTTTTCACTTGATTTCGCTTATCTCTGATGTGCTCTTATTTTTGCATTTTGCCACTTTCTGTAGCACTTATTATAATGTTTGCCTTGTGGCACAACAAATTGCGCGTTAATGTGTTTTTGTTGCTTCGTCATTTGATTAGAGCGTCAAATTGAATGTTGATATTGAATTTAAAGCTGAGCCGGCGGCGCTACTAACAGCACCTTGCCCGCACCTAGATAGGCCTTCAAAATATACATATACGTATGTATGTATTGTCTTTACCTTTTATTGATTTTTAAATGTGATTTTCGTTATTCGTTCTCGGCTGCGCTCACATTTCTATTAGCAGCAGCGCCCAGATTTGATTACAGAACTTGATTAAATTTCACTTTGAACGAGCGAACGACTTTTTTTTTCTCCTTAAAGCAAATTTTTCGTTGTGCAGAGTTGCGGGTCTCGAAATCAATGCGGCCCCGTATGAAATACCTGGCATAACAATGAAGCAGCTTTTGTTGTCCGCACAAAAGCAGGCACAGCACAAAGACCTTACATCCACGACATGGTCAAACAACAAGCTCACGAGACGAGTTGTGCTCAAAGGCGACCGTTGCGATGGCCCGAAATCCAATTGAGTAACAGCCAACAACATGCTTGCTTGATGGTCTTGATGACGACAGGGCGTCGCCATACGATCAGGTCCATCAGGTCCAGTCCATCTTGTTACAGTTGTTGTTGCTGCTGCTGGCCCATTAAGCAGACGCACGACCGAACTGAGAAGGTTATAAAACAAAGGAGCGCATCCTCCTTAAAATCATCTAGCGGTATTTTGGTATTTTTGCGTAAAGTGCTGCGACGCGTTGATTGCCCAAAGCAATTCACATTGATTGCGGCCCATTAAAACGCTGAGAGCTTTTTACAGTCGGGAAACCAAACACAGTTAAGACTCGCCGCGCACATAATTACAGCCGCAGCGTAGATAAAAGTCAAACACTGAAATTATTTAATGGCGTCTGCATGGAAAATGCACTCAAAGCTGCAATTGAGGTCAGCCTCAATGCACGGGCTTTGGAAAATTAAAATTGTAATATATATATTATACAGATATCTATATAAGATATAGCTGCTGAATATTATATTAAACACGAAACACAACAGATACGGAACATTACTTTAAAGCCGATAGAGACCAAGGGATCTACTCAATTTATCTAATTAAAACTGTTGTGGCTAATTATTAATTTTATACATATTGAACACTAATCTAAGATT